TTTAAGATGCCCCGTAGATGCTTGAAACCTTAGCTAATACTGAGCCCTATAAATACTATGTTTTTTTTCTTACACATACATACCTAGGACAAAGTTTAACTTATAAATTAGGCACAGTAAGAAATTAACAACTAATAATAAAGTAGAACAATTATTAATATAATAATATACTGTAAGAGAAATATGAATGTGATCTCCCTTTCAGAATATTTTACTGTACTTATCCTTTTTCTAGTGATGATGTGAGATGATAAAATGCCTTCATAATGAGTTGAGGTGCATGTTATAGGCTACTATTGACCTTGAACACAAGCACTGTGATGCCTCAAGAGTCAACCTGCTAACACAAACGAATACTAAGGGATGAGTAGCATATATGTGTAAATACACAGGATAAAGGGATGATTCACATCCTGTGAGGCAACACAAGATTTCATCACACTGCTCAGAACAGCACACAATTTAAATCTTATGAAAGATTGATTTCTAGAATTTTTCACTTAATATTTTCAGACCATGGTTTACCGTGGATAACTGAAACCATGGAAAATGAAATCATGAATAAAGGAGGACTACTGTACTGGTTTCTTAGTTCAAGAATGTTTTCTATTATTGGAATTGTGAAGAGCAGTTTCTTTAATAAATGATGTCTTTTGGGATGTTGGTTGATTTTATTTTTACTAAGTAATAACCATAAAAGAAATATATGAAAATATAGATAAGCCCACTCTATTTCTATTACTTTTGTATTTAAAAAATTATCAATATTTATATCATCCTCCTGAACAGTACAAGGTCTGTAAAACACTTTAACTCTGATAACTCCTTAAATTTATAGCTGTGTATTTTAGCTACATCTTTTTTATCCCCTCAAATTTATTTTTATACAATTTGCTTAGATTTTTTTCGACATTTTTAAAAATAGGCTTAGGGGGAGTACAAGATGAATTTCATTACATGTATATACTATACAGTGGTGGAGTTTGGGCTTTGGGCATAGCCATCACCCAAGTAGTGTACATTGCACCCCATAGATAATTTTCACCTCCCACCCTCCCCCCTCCCCATTTTTAAGGCTCCATTGTCCATTATATTAATACTACTCTGTGTACCCTTGTGTAGCCATAGTTTAGCTCCCACTTATAAGTGAGAACATGCAGCATTTATTTTTCTGTTCCTGAGTTACTTCACTTAAGATAATGACCTCCAGGATCATTCAAGTTGCTCCCAAATCCATTCTTTCTTACCGCTTAGTACTACTCCATGGGGTGTGTGGGTCCATGTGTATGTATATGCACCACATTTTCTTAATTCATTCATCGGTTAATGGGCACTTAGGTTGATTTTCTCTTCTGTGATACTAATTTGTTTCTTGAGGTTTTTAACTTCATTTGCTTCATTCTTTTCCCCGTTCCCCCCTTTTATACATAAGGATGCTGAGGCTCAGAGGTTAATGACAACTCACATAACTAGTTAATGATGAGTGAAATCCAAACCTAAGTTGTAAGAGTTCAAATCTACTGCCTCTCCATTAAAATGATCATATCCTTTTTTCATTTCATTCAGTAGTCCCTCAACATTCATTGAGTTCTTGTGTTCTTTAGAATGTGCTGAGCTATATACCAGGGACTGGCGATACAGCAGTGAACAAAATAGACCAAAAAAAAAATTGCTTGTACTCATGGAGCTTACACTTTAGCAATAATATCATCCATCTGCAACCCCACAGCTTACCCCACTCAATTCATCTCTTCTTAACCTCTGAAATTTTTTATTTGGCTTTTTAAAAATAATAGTAACCAGAATCATTTATAGGACTTAATTATGTTTGTCATTCAATATAATTGTGATTTTTTTAATAGTGCCAAAATAACTCTAAGAGTTTTACATAATTATTATACTAGTTTCTTATACTACAGTTTCCTAGTTTATTGCTTAGGTACTGTAACTTAAAAAAAGAAACAGTATAGGTTAGAAGTGAAAATTGTGTACTCTTAGTATTCTGTAATAAAACATGTACTTAAAGACTTACTGATTTTATTTTGTAAACTTTATATCGTTTGGTGTCTGTTGAAAAGAGTCCATTATATCACGTTTGGAGTAGAAAGCTCATCTTCCCAATTTAAGATACTTACAAAGCCGTTAATTTTATACCTCATAGTTCTAGGATAGGTTAAAATTCCATGCTAAGCATTTCTGGGTGTTTTAGTTTTCACTTATTTTCATAAGAGGTAAAGGATTTTATAACCTTTCAAATAGAATCCCATTTAGAATTTTTACATTACATTAGAAAATGTAAAATACATTCATCATTGTGCTGTTTCTCATAATAACTTGTTAATTTTGGCAAAGAAATGCTATTTTAAATCCCCATTTGAAGTAATATAAAATAGGATACTCTGTATTTACTCAGTCAATTTTAATACAGATTTTTGAGCAACAAAGTGGCAGATTGGCACCCTCTGTTGGTCATTTTATTTACCTACAGACAGAAATATAAGTAATAAAACAAATTAAAAGTTTATCTTTTATGTTTATATCTATCTTTTGAATTAGCATTTAAAAGACTCACCAAAATAATGCTCTAAAAACTGGCTTCATATGAATAAGGTGCACTATCATTTAGCGGCGCTTTGTTTCAGTAATTTTGCGATTATTGGTTTTTCCTCAGGCTGGCTCTCTAATTCTAGCATTTAGAATTGGTGTTAACATTGCAGATTTTCAAACACGTATTTATTTAACTGTAGCAAACTATTAGCTACAGTAGCACATTATTAGACAGATAATGTTTATCAATTTTTTGTTAATTTGGATTAATTAGAAAAACATCACATTTTAGTGCCCTAAATAACAGTTTGGGGACTTATTTGGATGAAAGAAAGATAATTCAAGCTTCAGCTTCAGAAAAGGCTATATTACTTTAGTTCTCATTTTTTTAAAGATAGTTATTCTGTAAAATTATATAATTAATAGGATTTATTTATGGCTTGATAATATTTGTGTATAGTAAGTTTGCTGACTAGTCCTGGAAATGCCTATGCAAATAATTTATAATTGCAAGAGAGAAAGCTATACTCTGCTAGGTAGTTGATTGAGTAGTTTGGAGGAGGAAAAAAAAATTTTTTTTTTTTTAAATATTCAGTAAGTTTGCATTTGGTAGTTCTGGTATTTCAGAATTTCATTAGCCTGCCAAAGCCTCAAATTTAATCCAATTTAATAATACCCAGTGGATCTTTAACATAATCTATGACTCATAATCTTGAGTATTCCATAATAACTCAAGTTACTGAGAGCTTCCTTATATCTTTGTCACTGAAATAAGTATTTTAAGAATTTATGTATGCATTGCTCATATAGTTTTTAAAAAAATATTACTTACAAATGCCTTCCAACTATGTTTATATTGTATTTCTTAAAGCAATTTGAAGAAATTGAGATTTTTGTTTGATTTCTTATGGGCTTTTCAGTATATGATTTTACCAAAATATGTAATAGACTATTCAATTGAACTTTTCATTCTATGATGAACTAATAATAAGCAAAGTAATCTTCTCCAAAATGACAAACTAAACTTTAATATAAAATGTTGAACTTGGCTCTTTTTTAAATTCATGATTTAATGAAACATTATTTTGAAATAATCAATGAGTTTTTATATTTTTCATGGAGTAAATTTCCTAGTTAAATACTAGATATAACTGTAAAGCAATTAGATAGAATTCTGAGAATATTTGACTTTAAATCTGCTACATTATTTTAGTCATCATAGTGTATGGTTCTATTAATACCATGTAAATATCATCAAAACTTACCAACTTTGGTACATTAGTAAATTAATTGAGCTCATTTGGAATATACTTCACTTATGATACTTACAAGTTTAATTCAGTAAGGGGGTAAATAAAAAAGTAAGGCATATTTTATTTTCAAATTTGGATGCATGATAATGCATAAATAAGTAGTCTTTTTTACAAGCCTACTGAAAGCAGCGAGTTGGTGTCATCTTCTGAAAATTAGATAACTTCAAACTCCCACCTTATCTTTCTTCAAAAGCCCTCATAGACTCAAACTGTATTCAAATGGAAAGTTTCCATCTTATCACTTATTTGAAGTGCCTAATTAAATTAGCTGTCAGTTAATTGGCCAACCAAATTAAATAGAGACAAAAAATACAAAGAATACTCTTGGAAATATTACTCTAGAAATGGAACACTTATCTCCAAATGCAGATTATTAGGAAATAGAATATTGGGGAATAAGAGTGAGATTGTTTTGATCTAGTAGGAGATATCTATTTTGAAAGTTTTTTTTTTATGGTACTCTAGTATATTTTAACATATTTGGAAGTATCTTATATCCTCAGAATTTCCTTTGAAACTTTTTTTATTGTCATGACATTATTTTCCTCTTTACAGAACCACTCCTTCCTTTTCCACCTTAGTTACTAATTTATTATTTTAGTATATGCTTAGTTCTTTGGAATTTGGGGCAATGAAATATGATGTTGCATATAAGTATATGGCAGAGAGTAATTTTTTGAATAATTCTAAGATTTTATAAGGATAAGGTACTCTTGGACAGCATGCATAATTGGAAAGTTTATTAACTTTTTCAGGTCACTATATCTAGTAAGCTAGAAATATAATTTATAGAATAGTGGTCCAAGATATTACACTTCTGGGGACCTGGATAAATATTGTACATTTTGTTTATAGATGCAAGAGATCACAAAAGGCTTTTATTGTAGAGTAACCAGTATACAATCATTAGGGAACATAAAGTTTATGAAAAATCAAACAGAATGGCTCTAAATATTTCTCTTAACTGTCTAGCTGTTGACTAAACATCTTAAAGTTTGAGTCAGATAGTTTATGTTAACTGGAAGTCATTATTATTCATCAATATGTGTTTGCTTTTTATATTTAGGCATTTGTGAAAGACTTAAAACAATTGCTTATTAGAGAAGATCTTTTTTTCATAAAGCTTTTTTCTTTTGACAGTAATGTGAATTTTGAAAATAAGGAACGAACAGCATGTAAAGGAAAGATTGCCATATCAGGTATGCTGTAGATAAATCATTTTCTATTGCTGAATAAATTCTATAAAATAACTCGAGTTGGTAGGTTTTGTTTTATGCTCTCTGCTTTCATTCTCTTCATTTTATTTTTCAAACCTGTATCAGAGTATTTGTTTGAAAACAGTTTTCATCATTATGCTCTACATTTATGCAGAACTTTACAATTTGAAAAAACTGTTTCATACATTACACATGGTATGCAGTTTTTTCTGTAGTGTAGCTTTTTAAAAATAGTTGGGATATGCTAGCAACTCAGACTTGTGGGAGGAGGGGAGGAAAGGGCATTTATTGAAACCTTAATATCTGTACCCCCGTAATATGCCGAAATAAAAAAAAAGAAGAAGAAAAATAATAGTTGGGTTAAGTGTTCTTATTTTCTACAGAATCAGGTTAAGTGACTTCCTATAAGTGACTGAGCTGGACTACAAACCCAATCTTTTGACTCTGTTCCTTTTGTACTGAGAAGCTTTAATGTTTGCATAGGCCAGAAATTCCGTAAGGGTTTGAGCCATGTTTATTTTGTTCATCACTTTATACCCAGAGGATAGCACAGTGCTTGGCACATAGTAAATGTTCAGGGAATATTTTACTGGATAGATAACTGTTCTCCGTTACCTCCAGGATAAAGAACAAACTTTTTTCTCCAGTTTTCCATCCTGACCCAATTCTTTTTCTAGCCATATCTTTCATTACTCCCATATATAAGCTGTTTGCTTTCGGCAGCCAGTTCTCTCCTTGGCCTGTCAACACACCCCATGCTTCTGACACCAAATTAGCTTGTGAAATAACTACATTTTCTTCTAGATTTGTTTGCTCATCTATAAAACCTTCCGTATCATTCCAGTTAAAAATGATGTTTCCTTTCTCTGAATTTGTAATGCGGTTAGGAGACTCTTTACCACTAGATGGCACTTATGCTGTGTAGTCTCAGTTTCTCCAAAGTGTTAAGGAAGCTAAAGACAATGGCTGACTCATGTGTACACTAGTTAGATAATGCACTTTTATAAATATTGTCTCATTATTATATTGGGGGAACAACAGTATGTATCTCATCAGCTTTAGGTAATTAAACTAGGTTATTTCATTGGCTAAAAGCCTTGCACTAGGGTTACATTTCAGGCCCTGTCACCCAAGGAACTGTTCTCAGTAATGTCTTTATGAATAAACAAAAATGATCATACAGGAAGAATAGACCTGCTTTTTACAAAGGACATAAAAACTGGCCAAACTCAGAGAAATATGAATAGTATTATCCTAAGAAAAAAATTCTTTAGAAAAATAACTGGAATATATAAAAATCTGTTGCTTGATTTATAGTCATTTATATTTTTATCTTTCCAATGATAAGACTGAAACAAAACATGTATTATACCTCCTTGTATTCTTTTGCTGCCAGACATATTACTTTTGCATTGTTCATCATGTTTAATACAGTTTAACATGAATAAAGTATTGTAGATATTTAAAGGAGAGTTTCTAAAAATAATTAAATGTCTTTCATTTCTTGTTTTTAATATGATGCCATTCACTATACAAATGAGATATGTTAAATTGCTATTAAAGACTCAAATGCCATGATAGAGTCAACATATTGTCGTTTTATAATAAATAATTTATTGACAGCAGCAATTCATGATATTAGTATTAACAGTACATTTAGAAGGGGCCTTAAGTAAAAGCTTTTTAAAGAAAAAATGTTTCCTGACCACAGTTACTGAAGTGTAAAAATTGAACTTATTTCTGCATGTGATCCTTCTTTCCAAAAGATCATTTTAAGTTAGGGAACTAAAACTCTCAGAAAATGGAATATTTATATATTTTCTTTTCATCTTTGCCTAGACTTAATGATCTCTTATCTGTGTATTTGTGAAAACAAAGAAAATAAAAAACAAATTCACCTTTATAAATCCATTTTCTTTGGATATTGGGATGAAAATGTGACTTTTGACCAAAATGTATATTTGCAACAAAGATGCATAATGTTTCTGAGATTACATCTATAGCCAAGAAATACCGGGGTTTACTATTTCCAGCTTCACCACTCACTGACAAGATCTTTATAAAAGTAAAAAGAATAATTGAGATTTATTCTGATTATTTTTGCCAAACACCAAATATTTACCATATGAAAATATAATATTTACCGTAATTACACTGTGGTAATTGTGTCTGCTTATTCACTGACTGCTAATTCAATGACTAAACCAAATCAGTTCTGATGAGTGCCTCCATTTTCACTGTTGAAAACAGTAGACTTCTAGGACCTCATACCATCAAGTTAGCCATCCTACTATGGCTCTTTCAGTTTACCATGAAGTCAATGAAGACATTAAAAAAAGACAGGTTAAGAGTACTGTGAACTAAAACTGAGTCAGCCATTTATCAAAATCTGGAAGGAACTTTTATTATTTTGTGCTGAATTAAACATAGTTGATAGATTACAAATCCTTTGCCGTCTGAATAGTACATGACCATCTGGGAAATAGATATGAGATATCCACCTTCTCTTGTGTAGATGACATCTACCCTCTCAGTTTAGGTATGGGAAAGGGCAAGGCTGACCGACAGGTTGTGGGTGTACAGCAAAGGAAGTGAGGGTCTATGTTCCTCCCCTAATAGTGTAAATAGTTAATGCCACCATAACAGAGCAAGAACAGCTGTGAACAAAAACAGTTGTGAAATGAAATTAGTCAGCAACTGTGGTCAAGCAAGAAGAAGTGGGATCGTTGACAGGATGTTAGCTAAATCATAATTATAAAACAGTTAAGCATTGCCATTAAAATCAAGAAGAAAATAACAATGTTCAATATGTCAGTATAGTTTACACAGTTTTAGCAATTCTCACTAAAATAATAAAAATAAAAGATGAAACTATTGAAAAGGAATAGGTAAATTGAACATTGAAGATAATAGATTGCAGACTTATAAAATGTAAGGGAATTTACTGAAACACTATTCAAATTAGTAAAGAATTCAATAAAAGTGGCTGGATTCAAGATAAATATACAAAAAGTGGTAGTTTCTCTTAAAACCAGCTATATCTAGTTAGAAATATAATGGCAAAAATGATCATCTTTATAATAAAACCAACAAAAAATAAAAACATTAAACGCTCAAGAATAACCTGCCTTAGTAAAAATGTAAAGGTAAATGTATCATGCTACTCTGTATAAAGACAGAATATTAAATAGTTATCAGTTCCCAAATTAATTTGGATAGTAGAATACTTAAAAACATTTGGGGAGGGGAATATTGACAAAATAGTCCTGAAATCCACATAAAGAAAGTAGCAAATGAGATTAAGATATTTTCAAAAGGAAATATTTCTAACAGTAAAGTATATTGTAAAGGTCAATAGTTATAATAGTATAGTGTTGGTATTAGGATAGACAGTAATTGATAAGTGATTCAATGAGATCCATAAAACATAGACGAGGAACAGCCATTTACTCAGAATGGCATATATGATGAATATGGCATCATAAATCAGGAGAAGGATATATACATGGAGCTAGAACAATTATTTTTATAAGAATATATTTTATATATTCTTAAAATATATTTATATATTCACCTCATATACCCAAAATTTGTATAGATATTAAATAACTTTTAAAAGTACAAACCATATACAATATCTAGAAAATGTGCCGTTAAATAGTAACACTTTATTTTGGCTTTAATGATCATAATCTGTTATGCAATTCAGAGGCTCATGTCACTGTAAGAAGTAAAACTTAGCAAAATTATTACATGTCATTTCTTTTTCCCTTCTTTATAGATATTCGAATACCACTAATGTGGAAAGACTCTGATCACTTCAGCAATAAAGAACGTGTGTATGATTTTAATTTGTAATTGAAATATTTTCTTTAGTGTATAGTAAATTTATGATTATTGGGAAAAAATGCTGCTTCCACACTGAAAAAAATTGATGTCATTTGGCAGAATAAGCAGAATCTTGCTGAACAACTGAACTATTGTTTTCTGATTTTAATATAAATATGTAGCAGTCACTTGATACTAATTAAGATTATGCATATCTAATGTACTTTTAGTTGTTAATAGGAACCTGTGCAAAGATAATTAAGTTACGGATTCAGTGTCGGGTGAAGGGAAGGGAGTAGTATGGAACAAAAGAAAATGTTTAAGGAAAAGATGGAGGCAATATTTCTCTTGTTTGACCAGAATCTGGAATATCTTTTTTGCCTTATTTTGTTACTTTAGATTATATTTAACAGGATATAAAAGGAAAGATTTGTGATTTTTAGCTTGATCTAATTTTTTTCCTTCAGCATTTTATGGCTTTGTAGAGTCTTCACAAATCCATGTATTGCTTAGGTCATAGAAATTAACCTCAAATGATTTCTAGCTGTTAGAGGCAAAGCAGGACAGATATGATAATCCTTTATCTTTCTTGTCTATTGTGATAGCTTTGTTCCTCATACTTTAAAATCTGAATTGTGTTACGCATAATTAGTTTTTATGTGAAGAATTTAAAATCAGGTTAGTGTTTGTTATTCAATTAGGAAATATAATTTACTTTACAAAGGAATACATGTGAGAATTAAGTAAATCTTTCTTATTACTAAAGAGAATAAGTTTTTCTGAAGAGATACATTTTCTCAATAGTGAGGATTTAAGGCCTTTAATCACCTAATACTTTTTAAAACAGCACCAAAATTAAAAGGCCCAGCAGCTGTGTTTTCTGTCTTTCCATGTCTAATTTTTATTGGTTTTATTTGTTTGTTTTTGTAAGTGCTTCTCTTGCTGTTAGTTTGGTGGAAAATATTTTGCCATTGTGAATATCCCTATTAACCTCTTCTAATAAAAAAAGTCTTTTTCTTAAATCGACTTGGAAACCAAAATCACAGAGGTAATATATATATAACAAATTTGCTATTAATTAAAACTTAAAGAGTTTTCTAGAAATAAAAGTTATGAATTTGGTGGTTTCTTTAGGCTCCTAAGAGGCTTTATAATTAATTCTATTTCTGATACTTCCCTGTTTACTTCTGTTCTATTTGGATAAGGTATTCCTATATACCAACAGCAAAATCACTATTACGTTAAGGATTACAACATACAATGTATGAAAATAACCTATTAACAAATATTTAAGCTAATTTTCATTGTCAAGTAGATGTTAACATAATGTCATGATTTATATGGATTGTTGCTTAAAATGTTTTTCTTCTCTAGGATCTCAACGTTATGCCATTTTTTGTGTATTCAAAATGGGAGCCAGGGTTTTTGATACTGACATGGTGATTGTGGATAAAACAATCACAGATATATGTTTCGAAAATGTAACCATATTGTAAGTATTTTTTTAATCTTCAGAGAATGAAAATCTAAAATTCTACTTTTTTAAAAAGGAAGTCCTAGTTATTGGGTCTTTAATTCTTTTTGAAGCATTAAGATTTTTAACGGTTGATTTTGAAAGTTACTTTGTTCAAAAGAAGGCCATTTCTACATTTGTGATTTTCTGATATAAAATAAAATGGAAATCTTATGATTAGTATTGTTAGTAAATATTTGACTCATTGGACATAACTTTTAAAATTTTATATAAATATTTATAGTTCATTATTGTTATCCATTATCCACTAAGTTATGAATACAATAGAATTTTCTTGAATATTATTTGATATAGAGTAAAATTGGGCATAAAATAGGTTCTTCCATTTCATATAGGAGATTTACTTACAGAAATACTAAAATAGTATAACAACTTTATAAGATAATACTAAAGTATATTCTATAGGAAAAGCACTTTGGTAAAATTTTGGAGTGTTCTTTTTCTCATGGTATACTACTTTCATGAACTCAAAACAATAAAAAAAAAAAATAGGTGATCTTCAGGGCTATTTTTATTGCTCCTGTTCTTTTACAGGCTCATTTTATTGTGGTAATAATAGAGAACCAGAATGAACTCCTCAGGTAGCCATAGAAATCATTTTTAACTAACATAAGTTTTTCCTGGCCTCTTTTCAAAGGTTCTTGGGGCTCAGTCAATGTGGGATTTGTATTCTTTTCAAGCTTTTAAAGACACTATCTTTGTATCTAAATGTTAATAGCTAATAGACTACTAAGACAAAATCAATATACATGTTTTTTGCATTTTCAGTTATGGAGCTAGACAGTTGAGATATCAGCGAACTAGTTTTGCCACTCACATGACATTAAAAAAACTACAGCAAACCATATTTTGTAACTTCTGGTCCAGTGTCCCATAGTAATAGTATATCACGAAAAATAAAATGCATTGTTCTGGTTTATAAGCGGTAATGCAGACCTTCTTACAAGCTGTATTGAACCAAAGAAATTTATTTAGGGTCCAAAAATATCCCCAAATGCTTATATAATTGAGGCTAACAAATATTTTTTTTGTAAGTTATCTGAATAGATTTATTTCCATTATCAACTACTGTTGTGAATTTTTTCTACCAAAATTACCCTGTTAATGGGCTCTCTTCTTCCCATCACTTTGCTATTGTTGGTTTTTACCACAAAGACGAAAATCAATTTTTTTTTTCACCCTAGAGAAAGAACAATACGAGTTACTTGGGAAGACAACACATGATTTATAATTTTCTAAAAATTCTGTAAATATTTTAAATTATTCTAAAAATAACTGCTGACAAATGTTGTAAATGTTTAAAAATGTGCTTTTTGTTATGATGATTGTTTTTAATAAGTATTCAATATTTATGAATTTCTGGTTTTCCTCTAAATATTGAGACATTTGTTAGTCATTACCAGGAATACTGTATGTTTAAAAGTTGCCAAATAATAAACTATAAAAATATCTAGAATTATTCCTTGGATTTAACCAAACTATAGATTGGCCATTTATATCTTAAAACGTCTGTGCTGAATTTTTAAAATCTCTGAGACTTATGGATATTCCATCTGCAGGCAACATCTGCTGCTGATGGACCTCTTTTGCAGTCTTAAGTATATTTTATTGTTAGCAACACCACCACAATCTTTTATGCTAAAGGTAGTTCATTGTGTATGAAAAAGGTAAACCCAATCTTAGCATTTGCTAAAATTGCAGAATTTCTGCATATTGGTTTAATAAATTTATATTGAGTACCTTCTACATTCCAGGTACAATGCTAGGGTAAGAATACAAAGATCACCAAGACAGCACCCACCCTCAAGGAGTTCATGCTTTGAAGTGTATCCCTTCATATGGTTTTTATGTTTTGTTTTTCGCCATATATGACAATATTCTGAAATGTTGTTTGTAGTTATTAGGTACAAAAGAGGGATGGGGTGGGGGCACAGTGGTGAGTAGACTATAATTGACTCTTCATGAAGAATAAATGAAAACTAAAGTTTCAGGAGATTCTGTTTTGGAGGAATAGTTATTTTAGGAAATTATACATATAGATTCCTTAAAAATAGTGATATTAAAGGAATGACAATGAGAAATAGTATTGGCAACAAAATGACCAGAGCATTTTATTCTTTAACTTTAAGTAATATACCTGTAGATATTGGTTAAATTGAGTTAAGATTCCCCTAGTTATGAAGCTGATAGCTCTGAAACTTGCAGTGACTCTCTTAGTCCATTTAGATACTAAATAAATGGAAGGAGATTCTTTCTCCTTAACACATATTAACATAAAATTTCAAATGCTGATTTTATTTTTTCTCATAAACTTTGCATCTATTGAAGAGATTTTGCAGTCTTCTCTGAGCCTCTCGCAGTCTTTTATGTATTTATTTTTATAATAAAATAAATTTTGTTTAGTGTATTTGTTTATAATATATAGTATTATAGATATTTTTGTATACAATATAGTTTACAACATAATGTTATGGGACACATATAGATAGTAAAATGGTTACTAGTTATTATAGTGAAGCAGATCAACAAATCTGTCATCTCACACAGTTACTATTTTTGTGACAAGAGCAGCTAAAATTTAATAAAAATTCCTAATATACAATTTTATTAGTTTTAGTCTTCATGTCCATATATCTCTAATCTTTTTCATCCTGTATATCTGCTGTTTTTTGTATCCTTTGACCGACATCTCCCCACTTCCTCCCGTGCTACCCCTGCCCATGGTAACCACTGTTTCATTCTCTATCTCTGTGTATTTGAGCTCTTTTTTTTTTTTTTTTTTGAGACAGAGTCTCGCTTTCTTGCCTAGGCTAGAGTGAGTGCCATGGCGTCAGCCTAGCTCACAGCAACCTCAAACTCCTGGGCTCAAGCGATCCTCCTGCCTCAGCCTCCCGAGTAGCTGGGACTACAGGCACAAGCCACCATGCCCGGCTGATTTTATATATATATTAGTTGGCCAATTAATTTCTTTCTATTTTTATGGTAGAGATGGGGTCTCGCTCAGGCTGGTTTTGAACTCCTGACCTTGAGCAATCTGCCCACCTCGGCCTCCCAGAGTGCTAGGATTACAGGCGTGAGCCACCGTGCCCGGCCATTGAGCTCTTTTTTATTCCACATATAAATGAGATTATATAGTATTTTTCTTTCTGTGTCTGGCTTATTTCATTTAGTATCCTCCACGTCCATCCATATTTTGTAGCAAATGGCAAGATCTCCCTTTTTAAGGCTGAATAATACTCCATCATGTGTTTTATTTTCTTAATCCATTCATTCATCCATAGACAATTATTTTCATATATTGGCTCCTATAAATAATGCTGCAGTGAACATGGGAGTGCATTGTATATACTTTCAAGGTGATGATTTCATCTCCTTTGGTCATAAACCCAGAAGAGGGCTTGCTGGGTCATATGATAGTTCTATTTTTTAATTTCTTTAGGAACCTCTATACTGTTTTCCACGATGGCTGTACCAACCTCTATTTCCACAAACAGTGTACAAGGGTTACCTTTTCTCCACACACTCGCCAGTTTATCTCTTGTCTTTTTGATAATAGCCATCCTTATGGATGTGAGATAATATCTCCTAGTGGTCTTAATTTGCATTTCCCTGATGTCAAATGCTGATTTTAAATGTTATGAAAATATCTAAGAATGTTATAATTCTGTTTTCTACTGAGATAAATTTCTAACATTATGAATGCCATTGTTTTTAGTAATGAAGCAGGGCCAGACTTTCAGATAAAGGTGGAAGTGTATAGTTGTAGTACAGAAGAATCTTCCATAACCAATACACCAAAAAAACTAGCTAAGAAACTTAAAACATCTATAAGTAAAGCAACAGGAAAGAAAATAAATTCAGTGCTTCAAGAAGAGGATCATGAAACATGCCTGCCCTTCAGTTCTACTGTTTTGTAAGTTTTCTAATACAATATTTATGGTGACATAATATAATTATACATTTGTGGTATTTTAAAGTTTTGTATGATTTTATATGGAAAAACATCCTGAAGCAGAAACAGAACTTGGTTGATATTTACCCAGCTGAAGTATCCTTAATGCCTTACTTTAAAAAGGTAGAAAGTTTGTTGACAGAGTGTTTTTAATGATTTGGAATTCCAATACAGGATAAGTGTCTCTTACCCGTAATGCCTGGGACCAGAAGTGTTTCAGATTTTGAAATTTTTCAGATTTTGGAATACTTGCATATACATAATGAGATATATAATGGGATAGGACCCAAGTCTAAACATGAAATTCATTTATGTGTCATATATGCCTTATACACATAGTGTGAAGGTCATTTTATACAATATTTTTAACAATTTTGTGCATGAGGCAAAGTTTTAACTGTATTCTGTCACATAAAGTCAGCTGTGGAATTTTCTACTTACAGTGTCATGTTGGTGCTCAAAGAATTTCAGATTATGGAGCATTTCAGATTTTAGATTTTTGGGTTAGGGATGTTCAACTTGTATCTCCCCAGAAAGATGAAATGTTTTTCTTGAAAAGACTACATATATATGTGTATGGAAGTATTTGCTACATATCAGTCTAATTGAATTTCTATATGTATGTCATGCTTTATTCTTATGGATTTTTAAAAATATTTTATCTCTTTTTAACAAAATAACATTATCATACCTAACAAAATAAAAAATAAGTACTTAATATCATCTAATATCTACTCTATATTCAAATCGCCCAATTCTAAAAAAGTCCTCTTGTGATTTGTTTGTTCAAATCAGAATCCAAACAAGGTCTATGGTGTTACATTTAAAGTGAATCTTTTAAGTTTCCTTTAATCTGTTACAATTTCCTGCCCACTTTTTTCTTGTCATTATTCATTGAAGAAACTAGGTCTTACAAAATTTCCCATATTTTGCATTTATCTGATTGCATCTTTGTGATCTTTTTCAACAACTTTTTTTTGGCCTTTATATTTCCTGTAACCTGGTAGTTAGACCTAGAGGACCAATTAGATTCAGATTCTCTTTTAGGGCAATAATAATTCATACCATTATATGTACTTTCTACTACCTTCGATTAGGAGGCTTTGTCCTACTTCGGGTAGTGTTAAAATTGATCAGTGGGTTTAGGTGTTGCAAGCCTGTTCCATCCATTATAAAATTCCCTATCAATCTTTTATCTAATGGTTTTAGCAGCCATTGCTGATCATTTCTTATTTCATTATGGATTATAATTTGGTTACTTTCTAAATCTGTCGTGCAGTTTTTCTTCTAAAGCAGAATAATGCAAAGAACTTTTTCTCTGGATACAACTGCAAAAAATTGGTAGAGAAAAAAGGCAAGAAAAAATACTTGATTCTTACATTCACCAAATTTTAAAACAAGTTGATACCCTAGCAATCATGGAGGTGATCAATGTTGTTTTATTTAAACTCTTGAATTTTTATATATTTGTATTTCAGTCTATTATAGTTATATTCTCTTTGATGCCCAAATTGTTCATCAGTGGGAAACTTTCAAGCTGATTTCTACATCCTTTTGACACAACCTGATTTTGTTAGTTTTTTTGCTTTCTGACACAGTAAGATGTTCCCTCTTCATCCTGTATTTTTCTGCAGGGGCTTAAATCACCATTTCTCCTGGTTTCTTTCAGACACTTTCTTTAAACATTGCGTTTGTTTCTTCACAAATAGTTTTATGTTTATGTTTCTTTGGAACACTGTTGATCAGGCTGCATTCCTAGAATTTCTTTGTTTGTCTTGTAGAGTTGGCTCTTCAGCACGTCAATAACTTTACTGTAATTATAAAAAGCAAAATATTTTAGGTATAGATCCTGGAAATGTCAATCATTAAAATGTAATTGAATTACTCCTCTCATGTCAGATATATTACATGTGAAATATGCCTTGGCACTCTAGCATAGTGACTTTCAATCTATTTTGATTGAGATTCATGCTAAGAAATACATTTTACATCATGACTAAGTGCATAGTTACATAAGGAGGTAGATTTTATAAAGTAATACTTAACATAATTACTATTTACAATAGAGTATCAAGCATTTTCTTTATTCTATTGCTTTCCATTTTTAAAAAATACTGTTTGTGAATCATTTAGTTGATTTCATGTTATATGTATGAATGGGTCCCAATCCACAGTCTGAAAAATACTAATAGAAGATGTAAGTCTTTCCACTACAAACGTCATTTAAAAGAGACAAGGGACCTTTAATTTTTTTCTTTTAGATTTATGACCATCTTAAATACTTTTCTACAGTAAGATTATTTCAGAGATTTGCTGGAAGCTATTTTAATTCAGCCCTAAAGTAGTGGAATTATTTCTTTTTGATGATTAGATAATTCTATTTCCAGATTGAAACAAATTTTAGAACAGAAAGAAACCTTAGAGGTAACCACCTAATTTAGTAATTAAAAAATTTTTCAAGCAGTGAAACTCTCTATTTTAAAAAATTACAGGACTAGTAATTTCTATTATCCAACTAAGTGATACCTTGGACAAGTTACATTTTTCCCTGGGCCTCAGTTTTCTCATGTGAAAGGTAAAGATGCTTAGAAACAGCCATTTCTTTTAGAAAGCTCCTTAGAGACATTTCCAGGGTTTCATGCACCTTTGAAGCATGTAAAAGCAATGAATGGACTTCTAAAATAGTTTAAAATTTCATTGTTTGGCAGTGAATACTTAATATTTTTATTCTGCCGTTTATTACTTGTGTCACCCAAGACATTAATTTACTATCTGAGTTTTTGTTTTTCCCTCTGTAAAATGATACATGGCAATAATAATAATAATAAAATAACATCTAACTCTATAGGATCATTATGAGATTCAATAAGATAATTCATGAACTTGGAATAAAGTAAGCATTTAATAAATTTAGCATTATTATCATTATTGTTATTATTTTTACTGTTCGCAAACCAGTGCTTTTTCTAAGCCTTTTTTAAAACTCTTGCTGAAGTCTTCAGTGCAGAAATTTGGCATAGAATTATAAAACATAGCCATTCTGTTTTCACTTATAACCATGTTTATAATTTTATAGGAAGAGATCATCTATGTGATGTTAGAACCTATCTTTAACCAATATTTCTCTTTGAAGCTTAAAGGCATTTTTGAGAATAACATTATTGTATACTAAGTTCTTTTTGATAAAGAGAGGTATATTTATCTTAAGTGTTCATCGTCTTATTTAGGTTTTATCATTCTACTTGGTTTATCCCTGAATCTAAACACTGATTTTCTTTATGAACATTTCCCATGAAACTTGTATGCTATTTGCTTATTATACCGTTAAAGTTGGTCAATAGATAAGTTAAAATCTTTTATACCATTTCACCAAATCATGTTCTCCTAATACCAGCATTCTATGACCTTCTAGTGTGAATCCAGTTATACTAGGTTAACTCATAGTCCAGGACTGCTCTTACCTAATACTTCTTTAACTGACCACTTCAGCACCATGATAGGAATTTGAGAATAGCATTAGCAATCAGGTGATCAATTTTGTTTAATAGTGATCTGCGTCAATGTGATGATTTCTGATATAGCTTTCAGTCTTTAACCAAAATGGTCACATATAAAACAATACATATCTTCCCTAGTAATATGACGTGTGACCAAATATAGCTGTTTTTCCTGACAAGTGTGCATTTTTTTAGACTAACATTTAAACTAGTCATTTATTTTTCATAACATTCCATCTCCTCCAAAAATGTTATAACAATTGGCCTATTTGATAGAAAAAAATGTAGCTGATTAAACTTTTGGGAACTCAATATTAGGGTTGGCTAAAAGGAATGAGTGTAATGTTTTAGAAAGAAAATGTTATCCTGACAAGAATGTTTTAAAAGTGAGGTCATTGTTGGTTTTGGAAGCATTGGCATTGTAATTAGTCATGGTTTAAAAATGAAGTTACTTGAAATACCATCATAAAGTATTGTTTGATCTGAAAGAAGGCAGCGAACATTTTTGGTAATTCTTAGTATGCTCCCTGATATGATTCATTTATTCATTTTATTTGTGGAATTTCCTAAAATTTCCTTAACTAGCACACTAAAATTTCCTTAACTAGATTTTCCCAGTGCCTCTAATAGCTGAATTATTAATAACTGTTTTATGTTCCTTGATAACTATGTAGTACATTATTCTTCATTGTGTAAAATATCCATCATTTTAAACAGTCATCTTATGAAAACTGGTAGAATTGACAGTGATTATTTTACTTGACAAAAGATGTATTAAAAGTTTTAAAAATAAGCCACCATACGACATTTTAAGTAAGATTGAAGTTACAAAATAAATATCCTAACACTTGTCTAGAATAAATGGATTATTTATGTTTTTAGGAACAATTTGTTAAAGATAATGCAGTTTGTAAACATAACTAAGAAATTATTCAACTACTGCATATAATAAATTATTTATTCTTTGCAATGATTATTTAGCAGTTATATCCTGTGGTACATTCAAAGGTTAATAAGTCATGGTCCCTGTGCTCAAAAATTTTTGCAGTAAAAATGTGGTCACTATATATCTGTTTTAACAGAAAAAGTATCTTAATTTTAAGATATTTCTTAATGAGGTATAAAGGCAGTATGGTGTAGTGGGTTCTCTTTCCAATATACCTCTTGCTAGCTACAGGCAAATCAGTCACATTCTCTGAATATCAATTTCTTCATCTGAAAATGTGGACCCCAAAATATCTGCCCTGCCTAACTCAAGTAGTTGTTTTGAACCTTAAAAAATATATTGCTTGTCAAAGTACCTTAAACTGCACATATTGCTTTGCATGCAATTGATTTTCAGGGATGGTTTTCATCCTGTTACCACTTTAACCATGTTAATTATTTCATTAGAAAAATAATATAAACTTGGGAAATAGAAGCTAGAAGAGAAAAAAAGTAACTCATGGTTCAACCACTCTAAAC